CATCATCATCATCATCATCATCATCATCATCATCATCATCATCATCACAACTGCAACTAGATGCCCAACTAGGAGGTAATTTGACCAAGCGAAGCCCCCAAATCCACCCTGATTTCCAGATATTTCCACCAATCCACTCAGGTCTCGATCCCATTCCCAATTCCCTGTGTCACTGCACCTGCTCCATCGTCCGCGAGGCACGCTCCACCATCGTGGAAGTCTTGGACGATGCGGCGCCCATCGTCCGCAACCGCATCAACACCGTGAGGCGCGGGGAAATCCACGGCGCGGTCCATGGGTTTGTGTTTGAAATCCGCGAGACCCCCTGGCCCGGGTAGACTTCCGGTCGTGCCCTCGGAGGTCTCCCTGACTGTGTGAATGCAGTTTGTTGGGAGGGAAATTGCTGGAGCATGCTATTCTTCTCAGAGTGGAGCGGATTGCAAGCAACTGTTGTTTGTGTGGTTGGGAGTCGGAGTGGCAAGTTTGTGCACAGACGAAGAGCATGGAAGCTTCAGAGTCTTGAGAAGGCTGACCCTCCGTCGCAAGTGACAATGGATGACAGCTGGTCCCTGGAAAGACCCTGAAATCCTTTACAAACAGCGGCAAGGTCCAGTTCCAGGAGCCTTTTTTTTGGGAGGTAAAGCATGGAAGGTCTTGGAATTGGTGAATGGTTGATGTGTTCAACATCTTGGCCAGAGCCACTTCTGTAGGCGTGAGCTTTGCTTTCGCGCGGGTCTGGAAGCTTCTGGGTCCTGGATCCATGATCGTCAGGGACTAGCCTCTCTGGGGCCCAGTAGGCGTCAGTAGGTTTGATTGAAACCAAAACATCCTCTTCACCAATGGCTGTTGCATGATGTTGGATGCATGCTCTTGGCATTTTTTGCTGATCGGAGTGTCCCCTTGTTTGATTTGGCGCATCTGTTCACGCATGCGAATAAACTCCAGCCCTCCTTTTGCTGCCCCTTGTGACCGTAGAATCAACCTACTATGCCGCATACTACACACGTGACCCAGGAGCACGCATGGTGACATCGAGACTCGCGTTTACACCGCCACCTGGGCACTGAACTGGCGGTTCCCGGCGCGGTGGACCTCTGGAACCCACCGATGTGGTCGTCTGTTGGAGGGTGCGGCCGATTCCCATGGGTTTGGTGAGGGAGGGTGCCATTGCTCACTGTAAGTCGGTTTGCTGCCCTTCTTTTCACTTAATGAATTCTCTAATAGCTTCATTGTTACTAGTAGTATGGCCAGGAGCCCCGTTCGTAGCTTCTTCTTATCCCTTTTGCACCCAAAAATCCGTCACCGAGGCCAAGCGGGGCTCAGCCAAGTCGCGGGGCTCGGCGCAGTCAGGCCGCGCCACCACGCAGTCAGGCCGCGCCACCACTCAGTCAGGCCGCGCCACCACGCAGTCCACCGCCACGGCCGGCACAGATGGCACACCACCGGAACCACAACGAGGCAGTGCTCGCACCAGTGCCATCACACAGGAATCTGAAGGTGCCTCGGTGTTTCGGAGGGCGGAAGGTGGAGTCACTGCGGCGATGTGTGATTGTATTCCCCTCCGTTCCGGGTGGCAATGGACTTTTGGGAGCAGCAATGATGAATCTCGGATGATGTGTACGTGATGAGATTGTCTCACGGCTGGCTTCAAGGACATTCAAGGATATTAGACTCACTTAGACTTTTGCAGGATCTCTGGAACTTCCAACATTTGTCCAACCGTGAGCTTTGCAGTTTGTGACTTGTGCAGAGAACCTGCATTCGCTGACAAATCAAAGAAAGCATTGACAACACTAGTACCGCGTCCAGACCCAACGCAGGGAACTTATCGAAAAAGACACTTCTCGAGTTTCTCCCAATCTCCCAGAGACCGGTGTGCTTGAAGTGAGCTGCTCTCTGACTCACTAACATGGAAGCGGACGATGTGACCCTGGAAGACTACTACTATCCTCTACAACAAGGGATGTAATGTGGCGCCCCAACTACCAAGCAAGCACCATCACACAAGATTGGTCAATATCACCCGGACGGACGAATCCCCTGCAGTGCATGAGGTTCCGCAGTAGAAACCCCAACCAGCCTAGGTCCAGGACCCTCAGCCCTTTGGGGTCGTTGGGAAAAATGTTGGAACCCCAGCAGTAGGCCTATGTAGTGGACGTGTCTCAAAGAATTAAGAAATACGGCGCCCCGAGCAAGTCACTTGAGAGGTCGTTTAACAGAATTTCCACAGATTTTGAAAGATCTTTCATCCATTTGCAGTCTTTGGATGTGTGCTTGTAAAGAAAAAAGCCCAGACCATCCATGGGACTGGCATACAATTGCCGATCGATTGGCCCCACCACCCAGTTTTTGTTTTGCAGCATAGGCCAGTCCGATGGTTTGGAGACCTTTAGGCACTATTTGGAGTATTTCTATTCCACCCACATTGGTCCACCTGAGAAACGGAGTCTTTTATGAGTGTGCTGACTCCGAACCATTCAAAGACTCCGGTCTCACCCGTCCGCGACATCTTCTTCGGCGATGTGACCCAAGGAGGGCGTGGATCCACCCAGACGAAGCGCTCGTCCATGCAATCCCGCAAGTCGAGCCTGGACGTGAGAAGGTGTGGAGGAAAACGATAGAAAACGGGGACGTTTGAAGGTGAGAACTAACTGCAAAACGTGGGAGATTGACCAAAGCTTTAGGTGATATGGTTGGTGGCATTCGTGGCATTGGCCAATTCCTTCAGGAACGATTTTCATCCACTTCATAGTCCTCTTGGAAAAGGTTCGACTGTACAATCCAGTGCCCAATTGACATGCAAGTGGGCCTCGCTGCTGGGCCTTGTGCCATGTACCGAAATAAGGACCCGCCAAGCAATCTCAGAATTTCACGTCGGGTTCTTTTCGCACAAATTCTGGGTGATCCGGAACCAAGTTGCACTCCTGACTCCCCCCCACAAAACATCAAATTCCATTGGGGCCGTTGGGCTGCTTTGTTTTTCTTGCAGAATAATGCAGACTTTTATATAGTCGAACGAGCTCATCCAAAAGCACACATGGACTTCGCTCGCGGTGAAATTCCTGCACCTAAGGACTCATTCCTCGGCCTCAGCGATGATTTTGCAAGGCATGGGCTTGGATTTGAGGCCGGCTGGAACGCAGTTGTGGGTCGTTCGGCCGCCGAAACGCCCTCCGGATGAGTGCAGATGATGAGTGCAGATGTGCAGATGAGTGCACTGGGATAGACCTTGGCTCTCCAAATGCCAGGTCGGTCATTGAAGAGCGGACATCATGTTCTGATTCGCTTTGGGGCTGACAGATTTCAGCAGAGGATTGCTGTTTTCTAATCCATGAGTATTGGCACATTGGCACGTGAATGTGTTCTTTGTCATGTTGATGTCATGAATATCCCCTCACCTGGGAAACGATTAAGCCCCGTATTAAGCCCCCATTTCGACTGTGGGTTGTGTCGCAAGATGTCCTTTAGCAGTACGTGACGGAAACGGGTTAGGGATCACCCCAATGGCCTAGTGGACCCTAGTGGATAGGTGAAAGCTATGCATGTGAATTGTGAATGTGAAAACCCGGCCCTACTGCAGTGTTTGTGCTTTTGCACTCCACATTTGTCATCATTTCCTGCATTCTATATAGTGATGCATAGCAGACACATCTTTCAAGACCTGTGAACAACTTCTGTGCTGTTTCTCCGGTGCAAAATTGAAGTATTTTGAATCCCCCTTGCAATTTCCCCTAAAGAATCAGACAACCCGGGTTGTCAAAAAACAGGCCTTCTTTAGAGTTCACCATGCATTTTTTAGATTGGCAGTGAGTCTGATTCTTTAGAGGTGCACTTTTTGCCACACGTTCGCGTCCTTCAGCCTGGAGATCAATGTCAATGGCATCCAATGGCATCCAATGGCAAAGCATCAAAAGTCAGCATGTCATAACATCACAATGTTCAATGATGATCACGAATTTTGTATTAGATGGTAGATTGCCGTGATCATGGATAAATCCCTTTGGTTACAATCCTTCTTGAACAGTCATCATCATGGACTGGTACGTGTGTGGAGTGGGTGTTCCCATTCTTTAGAAGGAGTCCAGGTTCCAAAGAGGTGTGTGCACTGTGCTCAACGTGTTCTGATTTTTAGGGCCACTACCCAGTATGTGTTGGCAGAGTCCTGATTCTTTAAGCTACAATGTTGGTATGGGCCCTGTGGATTCAGGATTCTTTAAGGTCGAAGCTGGCAGTGGCCACCATGGATTCCTAAAGAATCAGACAGTCCAGGTTAGAGGCCGAATTGCAAGGGGCATTGTTTTGATTTGATCTTATGCTTTTGTTCGATGTTTCTTTCATCAGGCGGCGTGGCAGAGGTTCAGTCATCTCTCATCATCATGGACGCGTCCATGCACCTGGGCAGTTCAGCGATGACGGCAGTTCACTGAGTGAGTCAGCGCGTGAGTCAGCGCAGAACAAATGGTCATAGCTATGGTGACAGAATGCGTTCCCCAGTGTGTTCGCCATATGTTGGTGGCTTTTGGATGGATTCTATATATATATATACATTGATTCAACGATATCAACGATCACCCGTCAGGTAGGCACTTGCTGCACGTCAATAGGATTTCGTTGCAGGCACTTGGAAGATATTCGGACGACCTTGCTGGCCTTTCACTCGAGTTGTGCTGGAAAAGAAGCGATGAAAGATATGAATGGATATGCCTAGGATGGCCTTCAAAGGGTGATATGCCTAGGATGGCCTATAGGGATCAAGAGATTCCTTTGGTTATACGATTTTTCTTGGACCACAGATAACTCGACACCAGATCCCATCACCCACGCACTCAGAAACCTTTTGTGTCACCTGGCTTCCCACCCCTTCGTTTCTCCCCCCTGTCGCCGATGGTCCGTGCCAACCTTTTGTCCCCAGCGTGGTGCTCCCCTCGCTTCCTCGCAAACTCGCCGAACTGCTCCTGTCCCCACCGCTGACCTCCACACGGTTCCGACTCGTCTGAAGGAAGACTTTGACCTCTTAGAGTCCCTGGGCGTGGGCGGCTTCGGCGAGGTCTTCCGCGCCAAGCGCCGCAAGGCGCCGGAGAGCACGCGCGGAGCACCGCGGTCTTCGGAGCACGCGGTGTTCGGTTGGTCTTCCGGGCGGTGGGAGGAGTAGTGGGAGGAGTGGTCAGAGAGCAAATTGGTGGTATGAGGTGGAGCCGGTTGGTGGATCATGAGATGGCCTGATGAAGATGGCCGAGAATAAAGTTTTTGGGTCATGGAGTCCCCTTCGCAGCCCTAAGGGTCCAGTGGTAGAAGAATTAGGTTTGGGTTTGTTTGGCAGTTTGTTTGACACCCGAATCATGTTTGGTGTTCCGGTCTTTGTTTGAGCAGGTCTTAATGTTGCGGAAAATTCAAAGAGACTTTGCTGTCCGCAGATGTGTCCACAGATGGGCGAATCCACAAAATATGTGATTCTTGCTGGAATCAGATGAATGAGAATCCATGTGATGTTTTGCATTGTTTTGCTGAATCAGCATCACATAATCTTATATATTATATATATAATACATTATATATTTATGGTACCCCCCCCAAATGTCTACCTTTTTTTGTTTTTAACTTGCAGTTCATTCTTATATATTGGGTTGGATCGAACAATGATGGCCCTTGAAAAAGCGCTACACCAAGTCAGAAGAGCCTCCTAATGACCCCTCCTATGCTGCACAAACCTTGACTCCCAGACAACAGAAGAAGAAAGACACAACATTTGGGGGCCCACTCTGTTCCAGTCCGTCAATCATCGTCTCATTTGAAGCTTTTGAGGAAAAAAAACAGTATTGGCACGCCTCAGACGGTTAAAGCCAGACCATCCATGAAACTGGCCTATGTACATTGGGGTGGTTGATATATAGATCTATTGGTTGTACATATCATCCATGCAGTCCCGGATTCCTGGGGTGCTTGGACTCCAACGTGCAGCACGACGCCCGGAGAGCGCTCCGCTCCCGTTTTCAACAAAAACACCGGTCCGAGGAAGACGAGTTTGATGGCTTCGGTCGATGGGTGGGGAACAGGTTTGAGATTCCCAGATCCTGAAGGTCACAGGTGTCTTATTTTTTGGGGTAACTAATTTGTGTTTATCCCAGACACTCCATATATGCCTATATTCACCCCCCAAAACCATCCCAATGATCCCCAATGTAGGTGTATATATATATATATATGCATGGCATGTGACAGTTTACTTGTTAACCCGTTCACGATTTCCACCTCAGCGATGACATGCCCCCTCCTTGCTCCACATCCCGGGACCCGAGGACGGGAAGTTGTGTGCGATCAAGTCGGTCGACATAGAGAAGACCGACCCAGAGGCCCGCTTGCGCGCGTCTTGGGCGGGCGGGCGGCAGCGGCGGAACCTTGCGCAGCATGGTTGTATGTTGTTCGACTCCGGGTTAGACCGGTACAGCCGAAGAGAACTGGCGAGGCAATCTCCACAATCCATCTCAGGCAAAGCCTACATAGAAACTACCACATGGCATTTGAACCAAGAGTTTTGAGGAGGGTATCATACTACAGGAATCCATCAAGGATCGCCGTTGGTGTGGTCAAAGGCTTCGGAATGAGTTGGGGCCCCACACTGAAGATGTTGCATGAAATACAGTGAAAAGCCACCTCGCAGTGGAGGCAGCCGGACCACATGTTTGTAATATATCACAGACTCCAAGTGTGGACATGCTATGGCTTGAACCCCAAAATGATTCGATTTTTGCCACTGCATTTGGAGCCGAAACCGCAACCATCCGCTGGAGCTGCAGAGAAGGTCAATCTCCAAGCCATCCTTTTGCAAGGCGGCAGGTCCCCATGGCTCAATGGCTACATCTTTCGTTCTCCGGTCCCAGGAGACTCCAACCGTTTGGTGTGTTGTTTCTTGGGAATGCCCATGAAGAAGGACCATCTGGAGATATCAGATTAAATGGATATTGACATGGATGACCTGAAACAGGCTGAAACACAACCCAGACCCTACAGGTCATTGACCTCATGTTACTGGACATGGTCACACAAAAACACGACTTAAGCTTGTTTTCAAGACCAGGTAAAACCACATGGCTTTTTCGCCCGTTCGCCCTGCACCGAGGTCTTTCAGCGTGAGCTGGATCAGGCCTCGGAGGGCGTCTTCGTCTTCGTCGTCGTTCAGCGGTTTTTCGCTTCGCTTTCAGGCGACTTTCAGGCCCCGGAATCGCCGTCTGAATCACCTTTTGTATCATGACCACACACGGTGTGTACATGAAATACGGGAGACCGGATCTTTCCTCAGACCGGGTAGACTGGTCTATGTTCCGAACCCAGGGGGGCCTAATTAGGAGGTCTCCCCTAGGACCGAGCTACACACCCACATTGACCTCATGGGAAAGCTCTAACATCTGGCTCAACTGGAATTCACCGTTCAACTGCACGAGTCTACTTACTTGCGAGGCAGGTGGTTGCATGCAAACACCAGGTGCTCCTGAGCCCGTCCGTGATGTGTTGGGCACCCCTGAAGCGTTTTGGGGTTTCTTCCCAATTTCCCTGAGCGGTTTCACCGAATGCTTGCAAGAAAGTCATAGAGAAACATGAAGAAACCTTCATCTATACCAGCACCCGACTCTACAGGTCTCTTCTGCTCGCTTTTGGAGGCCTATACTTGCCGGCGGTGACCTGTGAAGTCTTGTGCTGGTATTGGCTTGGCATGAAGGTTTCTTCATGTTCTTCATCTGCATCTGAAGACAACAACAATCCCCGGCAGCTGCCGCACCCGCTGCCGCGGGCCGCGGTTCAGAGCAAGGCCCGGCAGCTGCGGCATCCGAACATCGTTCACCTGTTGACTGCGTACAAGGATGAGCCATGGACGGAGAGCCAGGGCCCGGCAGGTGCGTGGTGTGAAGTGAGAGGCTGAAGTAGAAGAAACAGAAGCGCAATGCTCCATCCAATTCCAGATTGGGGTGGTATTTCATCCCATCCCGTGAATGGATGATCATATCATAGGTACCCCGAGGACACGAACCCCTGCAAGAACCATGTGCGCGATTGGGGTAGAACTCCTGGCTGGGGTGCCTGAGAGAGGCACAGGCGGAGAACTGTTCTCTTCCTTCAAGCTGGTGGAAGTCCAACGACCAAGTGAGCTGAGCCCAGTGAGACATCGTGATGATCCAAATTGAGGCACCCGATCCAATTGACCCTCTTTTGGGAAAGAGATGTTGCTTTTTTCTATGATCTCATCTTCATACACATCTCTCCAATCAACAGGCCAATATCTATTCAGTCTATTGTTTGAGCGTCGCTTCCGCCTGAAACTGGATTCCCTAGGCCGGTCACGTGGCACGAAGAGACTGGCCTACCCAGAGAAAAAGGTTGCTCTTCATACAGACCCCCCCGATAGAATAGTAAAGTCCCCCACTATAAGAAATTGATTGGGAACCGTGCTATCCGATCCATTTGGTGTATTTGGGGAGAGTTACACTATGTTGCGCAAAGATGCTCAGAACTCACCACGATGTCTTTCACCATGGTTTTCCTCCTTTCCACCTATATCAATTCGCTCTGAGACGCCGGCGACTCACTCCATTCCTTCGGTGCTGGTCCCAATGGACCCCTTCCCGACCGGTCAGTCAGGACCCGGTGTGTGGGGTTCGACCCGGCACGGGTCAGTCAGACGGTCGGTCACCCGGTCACCCACATGAAAAAGGTGAGGTCGATGTGAAAACAGATCAAACGAAGAACATGTTCCATTGAATTGCATGCACAGTGAATCACAATGACATGTATACCGTATACCCTCGCTTTAAAACCTTCTTGCGCGCATCCCTAGCAGATTTTTTGGGACAACCGATGTGGCCTAGATTCACCACCCACTTAATTCAATAATAGAACACAAACAAACACAACGCCCAGGAAGGCTCCTTTTGGCTGGTGATGGAACTGTATCCTGGCACCTCGGCAGTGTAGCCGGAGCCGGAGCCTGCTGCGGCCTTCCAAATCGCCAACGCTCAAAAAGGCCTCCCTAGATCTCAATAGTATGAGCGATGGCCTCCAACCTGCTATAACAATAATATTTTCTAATATTATATATATAATAACAACAAAATTTTCTAATATATATATTTGACAGTAATGACACACGACGCATACTGTATCGATTAAAATTTGTATATAAGATGTGCCCAAACATGTGCCACCAGGACGCCACAGACTCCTGAAGTCACCCCACTTGCAGGTCGCCAGTCCCATGCAGATTTGGTGTCACATTGAGCCTCAATGGTGGTGTCAGCTCAATCGTTTCACCGGACTTGCTTCACTCCTCGCTTCGCTCCTGGCTTCGCTCCTCGCTTCGGCTCAGGTGGTGACCTGATGGGAGAGGTCTTAGCGCACAACTTCAAGCGTGGGGACCGGGACGTGTTCAGCTCCGGTCGCGAATGACAATCCACTGAGTTCCACTGGTGGATGAAAGACTTCCGGGGCCCGCGTCTGGACCTCGACCTCGTCGAGTGATCTACGGGCCTCTGGGTTGTTGGTCCGGTGAGGCGTCTTTGGTGTTTGGAGAACTTGTGAGGAGTTGACACCGCCATTGGGCAGGGGATGGCAGGCTGATAAGGAGGGCGGCATAGGGAGATCAGTTCAGCTTGCAGAGGAGGAGTTTGGGGCAGAAGTACTTGGAGGTTGGAATTTCAGGGAATTTCCATTTGGGTCAAAGTCAAGCCTTAAATAATCTTAAATCCATTCCGCGGTGATCTCTCGCAGGAAATGGGAGGCTATCAAGTGGGCATCCCGCTGCTGAGCTGCCTTTGGCGAAGATCCGCATCTATTGTGTGCGTGCTATCTACCCGCACCCTCCAACAGGTCTTATAAGAGTGTTAGGCCCGGTGCTCACGTTCGATGAAAGGTGTTTCACGCTGCACCGGGCCCTTTTGAGATGCAGCTCCGACAAACACATCACAATGGGTACGTGGAAGGTCATGCAGCACCCATTTGCTTGGAGACCTCCCATAGAAACACCACAAAAACACCATTTGCTTGGAATGTTTTCTCATTTCCCGTTCACTTCCCATAGAAAAAGACACAACAAACAGTACCACGACATTATAGTCATTGAACACATCGACCCAACATCGCTCGGACAAACAACAACAACTGCTCCTCATGCTCTGAGGGACGACCGCCTGGCTCGCTATGCCTGGCAAATGTTTTCGGGCATCGCCTATTTGCACTACCACAAGATCGTCCATCGGGAGAGCCCTGCCGCTTCTGTTCGTTTGGGGTCTCACTGTCGTCTTTTGGGCCGGTGTTCCCAACCAAAAACCAAGGGCGAGGCTCTGAGGGCGGGAAAGATGGCACGTCTGACGGCATAGAAATTCATAGAAATTTGAATTGAGAATGAATCGAGAAGGTTTGTTCTGCGGTGAAGGGTGGTTTGTTCACATGTGAGATGTGTGAGTTGAACTCGAGTCCTGTCCTGTCCTGAAACATCGAGGTTGATGATCAGATCGGTTCGATGTTTCGTCTCTTCGAGGTCGAGGTCGTCTTCGAATCTGGACCTCTCTTACCCCCAAGCATCCCCAAGCTTTGAATCGTCTGAATCTTTTTTCTGATATGATTGGGGTGTATTGAACTAACAGAGCTCCCAGTTCGACCTTTTGGAAGGTTCGGGAAATAGACCAGTCTACCCATTGATGGGTCTCCCTGTAGTGCACACCCAAGATGTTCCAATTGACCTCATTGATTCTGTTACTGACCGTACGACTGAACAAGACACATGAGTTGATGATTTCATGTGATGCATTCGCTGCTGAAAAAGGGAGTTAGCCTTTTTTCTTACGCTCAGCAATGCTTGACACACTCACCACTGAACATCACTGAAGAACCCTTTGTGTTTCATGGTTCACAGAGTTGTTTGTTTGACATATCGTATGTGTGATACACGACCCCCTCCAACACAAACGTGCGACTCACCGTGCGACCGCAGGACATCAAGGCTGAGAACTACATGCGAACCTCGTGTCCTGGCGGATGCAGTCCATGTATTGCGTATTATTACCGATCAGTTGGGGTGGTTGACCTGGGGTGAATGTAGGCATGAATGCCATACATGGAGTGTTTGGGTATTAAAAGCTCTTGTAAGATCTATGAGGATTTCCATGGATTTCCTCTATGAAATAACTAGGGTGTGATTTTTATAGGAGAATCATTTTCTGACATATCCTAGTACGTGGGGATGTGTTTTTTTGTTAACTGAGGGTTTTCCAAATAGATATAGGTATAAATAGACTCCTTTCCCAATTCACTATACAGTACCTAGATCTTCTAACTATGCAACATGTCTGCCTTTGGGATCCTTTTGGCTGGTTGATGAAAAGGCAGACATGTTGCAAGATCCAGGCTGATCCGGAAATTGCATTGTTCAGACGGCCTCTCACACGACTCAGAGCGGCCTCGGACCTTCAACTTGGTCGGACGAGCAGACGAGGAGCGACACAGCGGTCGTGCCCAGGGCAGACGAAGACGAAGCGGCTTTGGTGCTGATTGACCTCGGCGTCTCGGCGAACCTGAAGACGACACCGGTCCTCGAGGAGGCCAGGTGCGTGGACCGGTGCGCACGCGGCGATCGAAACGTGGGAGGCGGAGGGCGATGTCTTCGCATGGCGAATCCATGTTTCAAGCATGTTAAACCACTGTAATTAGCTTCATCTTGAGTTGTCTTGTTTTTTCAGGTGTTTCCGCCCACCGATTTGTTGAATCGAAGGCCCCATGATCCAGAAGCTTAGCTAGACATGTGGACTCAGCTACCGACCTGGCGGTAGCACCGATGGTCCGAGGGAGCACCAAAACGTAAAGATTACTTTTTGGTGAGACGTCCTGGTGGTGTTTCTGGGCCACATGTTTTTTGGTCATGTTTTTTGTGTTTTTAGTTCATTGTGTATTTTTTGGGGTCAGTTTTCCTTCAAAAAAGAGGGCTCAAGAGACACTCCATGTTTGATTCGTTCTTCTCGCAGCTTGGACCATCGCGGCTCACCTCCCTTTTGACGCATTGTCGGGCGATGCAAAGTCAGAGAAAATTGACATGGCAGACTTCAATGTGTTTCCACAAAGACCTTGCCTTGCACATATTCTGTTGGAGATCATGTTGAGATCTTGTGCATTGGTAAGATGGAGGATGAGAGATGAGAGATGAGAGATGAGCATCCCCGCTCTGAAAACTCCTTTGCCCTTTGGGATCTACGTGAGGTGGTTCAGTGTCATTCAAGCTTCTGACATGGCACCTGCCTCACCTCAAAGGCACCTGCCTCACGTACGTTTGTTGTTTCCAGTGAAGTGTGCTCATCAACCGTCCCACGCCGCGTTTGGATCGATCCGCACCTTTCGACCCCGGCCGCGCCTTCGACCCCGCTCCTCGAGGCGGTGGGGACGTTGACCACCATGGCACCCGAACTCTTCTTGGGAGAGTACGATGAGACTCTCGGGAGCCAACAGCTGGTTTCGTTCCGCCAGACCGACTGGTTTCGGCTCCCAACTACCGCTGCGTGCGGAACCCGGTGCCCGGGGGGGGGCACTTCTTCGGAAGCTTCTCAACCTTGGACTGCGGTGGGTAGCACGTGGGAAGAGAGGTGTAGACCCTAGACGCTGGACGGAGCATGGATTTGGGGAGAAAGTCCACACACTCAAAGGAGAATACATCCCCCTCAGAACTGCTCAAAGGCCAACAGACCCTTTTTGGCAAAACATCTATAAATCACCATCTGGGACTTGAGCCCGACTCGGGTCCGGAGTGTTCTTTCTTTGAAAGACCCCTTCGCCGGGACCCACCTGGACTTCTCCCGGTCTGGGACCAACCCGAGACGGAGGATTCCGCGCAACGGCGAGGAAGTGCGATATGTGGAGCATTGGAATCACGCTCTACATGTGCGCAGTTTGCCCCTCCGGCGCGGTTAGTTCGTGACGTTCCCCGAAGCATGGGGAAGTGCAGTGCTGTACCAGACATGGAATTGACATGGCCAGACGCTCATGGACCCTCCTAAGTAGGGGCCGGACCCTCCTAAGTAGGGCTAAGTAGGGGTCCGGACCCTCAAATCCCCACACGCAGCTTCTTCAGTGCAAGACAGTCCGAGGTCGGATTCCTGGGATGGATGGTTGATCCAAACCACTCTAGACTGGTACCTGCAGGATCTTGAAACTGCATCATGTGGTGCTTCAAAGGGTGCTTCTTCAACACTGAAATCAGATGAAATCAATCGAAATCAGTATCGTACTGGTAGACTCTTTCTCGGCCACCATGGATCGTTTGGGCATGTTTCCCGGTCAACCTGATCACCTATTTGAGCCCTCATGCTCCGCGCCTCTTCGCGGTAGAGTGGACCTTCCGCCTGAAGCGACGTTCGCGCGTTTCGTGTCCGTTGCCGTTCCCGACCCGATCTCGTGCGGGTGTGGTTGCCTTCGTTGTCAGACCGGATCTTGGGAGATATGGAGCCATGGAACAAAGGCAATCAGCACATGTCAGAGGATGAGATGCAAGACTGCGCCTTTGCACAGATGAGACCGGATGGGAGACCTGTGGACCTATAGTGACCATCTATTAGGACCCTCAAACGTCCTGGGATGGGTGGGGGCCTGGGGTGAACGCGGGGGAATACCGGAGCAGAGGTTCCAGAGGATGATGCTGGACTTCACCCGAGCAATCGGGTAACATCGTTCACCGGATAGGTATGATCAACCTCCAGCATTTCATGGGGTGTTTGCATAGTGTTTCCCCGCGTTTCCCGTCGATCCGGCGCACTGTTTCCTTTTTTCCACGAAACTTTCCTTGGGATTTGGACGGAAGTCTGGCAAAGCTGACACAGGTCTCTCTACAGGCTCCGGGTTTCATCCTTGCCATCGATATCCATCAATCCTCCCATGGCATGGTTGAAAAATTGGAAGAGTGGAGGATGATTGATGCACGTCTCTGGACCCGGTAGTTCCATGGTTTCCTATCCGTGGTTTTGTACCAAAAAATGTGGCGCTGAAGGCAGAAGTTGACCTTTTACCATTCCCCCTTTTTCAGCGAAAATAGACGCATGGCACCTGAAACTGGTGTCCAAAACGGATTGGTTGAGTGAGCTGGTGGGGGGTTTGGGTGGGGGACAGGGGGCCTAATATGTGTTTCAATCGCATTCTAGGGTGACCTACGCTGAAGTCTGACGTCCAACCCGCGTGTCTTTCTCCGGATCTCTTCGCGTTGGTTCGTCCGGTCCGTCCGACCCCACGGACCGATACGGACCGCGCTACGGACACCGCGCTACGGACGCGGATCCTCCGCTCCGAGGTTTGGAGGATCCGGAGTGGACTGTACCCTACGATGAAAGGAGATCGACACGGCGACGTCGATCTCCATGTACCACATCTGATACCTCCCAACTTTTGATGGGACATGAATGATGTTTGACCTGTGCGGGAGGGACATGGATTCTTCATGACACGATTCTAAGAGAATGTCCAGTTCCAATTGGAGGGGTTCATGAAGCAAGAGTCTAACTTGACTACATGACCGATGCAGTGCGGCTGGTTTGCCTGTGGTCTTCTTCCAGTCCGTTGGGTCCCCCGTGGAGAGCGGACGGACCTTGGACTCGGTGGTGACCGGGAGGAGAAGGCAGAAGGGCAGAAGGGCGGCAGATCCAAAAGCAATGCCACAGAGCGAATGAGCAATCACAGCTCATCCATGCATGGAATAGTTTTACATACTATTATCATCTATCATCCTCTGGAATCAAGAGACCAAAACTCACCGGTTGGGGGCTCGAACCCCGTTACACCCACATGCAAGGTTGCACTTTTTTGCTTTTGGAACATGCAAGTCTGGGTACAGAGCCTGCAGCTCTGAAACCACGCCCACGTCGCAGGAGGTGGAAACTGAAGACTCCAGAAGTGTTGGAACTGGTGCCGAGCTGAGCAGGAAATGAGACACGGGACATCTTCTAGGACATTTGGGGTGTCTGGAGATCTCCCGACATGTCGTGTGCAGACGGACGCCCACCGGTGCCCGACCGGCTGTCGCCAGACAGCCGCCTTCTCGGAGTGGACGGTGAAGTCAGGGTTTCAGACGCTGCAGTTGGGGCGCTGCGCCGTTTTCGAGACCTGAATGATTCCTGACACTGATTCGCACAAAGATGCATTCCTGCCTCCAAGGTAGTCTGGGGTAATTACAATCATGTCAAAACCGTTTCTGAATGTTTTTGATCAACAACTGGCACATGGCCCAAGGGAAATCATGGAGTGGTTTTCAGCATGTTAGAGCTATATTGAGCTACCCGATATTATAGTATGCAATTAAAGCCTGTAGACCTGGACACGATGAATGAACACTTACGTTTCACATCTTTTACTTTCCGTACTTTCGAGACCAACTACCAGCACCCTACTCTACAGGTCTCCGAAATGGTATTTTTTGGACCTGCCATCCTTATTAGGTGCAGCAGCTACTCCAGAGAGAGCCGGAGAAGAGACCTCGAGCACGGGAGGTGTCTGGGCTGACCGCGTGTCCAGTCTAAGATGGGCGTCCTGATCATTCCCAGACCATCCATGAGACTGCCCTATTTCAGACCGATGATGGTTCAGGGGGGGTAGTTCACCTGGGGTCAATTGATCCGGCAGATGCCATGATATTGAACGTTGTTTCGTGATCAAGCATACGAGCCTCAGGATTCCTGTGTGAAAGAGACTTTGATGGCGCACCCGGAAATACTTTGCAGCCCTTGGTTTCCCCCAAAAGCACGATTTGAGCATATCTGAGCCCAAGACCCCCTTCAAATATCCCCCTACCAGAATGGTTCTATACATCTTAATATGGAGGCGTTGTTCATCTCTAGTCAACCCACTGACCACTGCTTAATCTGGCTGTGGCGGACGTTGGGATCGCAGTCGCGCTATTGATCTCTGCCAGCACCCTCCCACAGGTCATCACCCACTTTAAAAGTCTCCAAAAGCCACCAGAGGAGACCTCTTGGAGCTTGAGCAGGTGCTTTTCGCAGCTTCTCCACTCACTGAACACATTTCTTGTTTGGGCTTCACACAACAAACAGGTGGGTGTTTGGGCCATCATTTGGCTGTTTGCTGTCCTCTTTTCACCCCAAGCGTTTCGTTCGCTCCCGCGGATCGCCGCACGGACCGGCCGATGGTGATCTCCATCATCGACCGCACGACATCCGGTCGAGACCGGTGCGTTCTTGGGAAACGGGCGGTCGAGACCAGTGTCGGAGGACGAGGACACCTGGTGGGTTGATGTGTTTGTTGTCTCACTCTGCCAGCTTCTTCAGTACGTGACCTTTTGAAGGTTCCTAAGTGACCCTTAGGAAGCTTAAGTGACCTCAAACCAGGTTATCAAAAGGTCACTTTGAAGAACCAGGTGAAGATGAAGAAGTTGGTAGAAGACTCCATTTGAGTCTCAAGTTTCACGGGTTTAGACGCACAAGCCGACGGCAAGAGAGCCCAAGATGGAGTGCAGCGAATCCTTCACGGAATGGCAATCATGTACTAAACTATACACGACATGGCAATAAGCTTAATTTGCATGGTAAAGCGGCTACAGCGGCTATATATGTCCATTTGCTGTCCTAATTACCGCGCATCCTTATTACAACTTCCACTTGCCGCACATGTTTTGCCCCTGAGAAGGCCTTCTCATTTGGGGCTGATGCTGTAGGGAGAAGGAAGATGAAGGAAGTTCTTTTTCGAAAGAACCAAGCTTCAAAGTGATCTCTGTGGAATCTCATCCAGCGACCTTTACAGGCCCAGGCCATCCAGTGACTGAGTGACCTCGGTTTGAGGATATCAAGGTCGGTCACGAACTGAAGTTCCTATTCTTTCAGCTTCTGACTCACCACTTCTGACTCACCACCCAGTCTTGGCGCTCTGCCGCAGGTCTTAGGTCAATCTACCAGGTTTAAACGGGTTCCGGGTGCCATGACCCACGGCGACAGATGCGTGGGAAAAACCCAAGGTGTTGGCCTCCAACGCCTGGGTCAAGTCTGGCAACGATGATGGTGCAAGCTGTTGCTTTGGCTGAGCTGCTCGTGCCACACTCGTGCCCGGCGCGGGTAGCGCGAGGGACGGCTGCCGTCTTCGGCTGCCTGACGGAAGAAGCATCGATGTCAGCATTCCGCGCATGTTGATGAATTGAGAAGCATCCATGGTGACAAGCCGAGCACGTTGGCTGTCCGCTTGGGATACGGCAACCCATTGAAGAATGGTGGTAACATGTGGTAACTCTGAACATGCAAACCTTGGCACCATTGTTCCCGTAACAGTGCCGGCTTGTCTTCTCCAGGTCACCACACTGTCGCTAGGAGGACAGTTTAAAATCCTTCCCCATCAATTCCACCTTGTAGGATGGACATGTTCATAGTGTTCACTCCTGACTCCTCTAGACCCGACCTCAGACTCGTGGAGTACACGATCCCAGACCCAGACTCACATGACTCCCGATCAGGCCAGGGGTGACCTGGGGGTCTTTCTGGGGCAATAGATTCTCCAGTCTCATGGAGTGTTTGGGATATGGCTACCTGTGACAAATGAGGAGCCAGCAATCAGTTGACGGACTCCCACCATGGCATACTGCGCTTTTCCTTGCGCTTGGCACCGATGCTGGATCAAGCAGACATTTGGTTTGCTTGAGCCAAAGTCGAAATCTTCTGTTTACCCTGGACACACGCCTGCTGCTCAAAAGGGTAGTACATTTGCGTGGTGCTGCGTGATATATCTCATGTCCCCTCGGCAAAGTCGGTTCATGGGGTCGCCGGGTGCAGCGTCCGAGGATCCGACGAAATACAAGTCATGATGAGATCAAATGATTGAGACAGATCCCTTTGCGAGAAGATGGAGGTTTGACCTCCGAAAACAAAGAGCTCAAGCCTCCTCCGAATCCCGGCGTTTTGGGTCCCTTTCTAAATCTGTCACCACTTTTACTCTCGAGCCGTCAGAGTTCTTGAGCCATCGAATGTTGTGAAGCGTCAACCGTTGACCATCCATGTGACTCTTCGCCTAGACCTGGGGCGACAGTTCGCTTCCCCCCGTCCGGTCTGGAGATGTTTGGAGAAACGTCCCATGTTCTGCGGCTGAAGCTTATCCCGTTTGGGCTCCAGTCGGACCGTACCTAAGAAGGTGGGACTGGGGTGGGTGCCAGGAGGGTCCAGTCATACCTTCTGGGGAGGTACGACTGGAGCCCTAGGGTATATTAAGATAATTTCCAGGAGTCACAAAGGGGTGGTGTTTAGTCCCTAAGTGAGTGGATACTGGGCACCCCTATCCTCCAATGGCACCCCTTTGTGACTGCTGGTTAAGATCTTATATTAAGAAAACATAAGAGAACATATGAACACTGTTTATGGGTGGTAGAGTCTAGAATATTCTTAAGCGGGCATCAAGAACAAGAGAAGGGATCAAAATTAGACTTTAGATTGGGATGTCTTTTTCTTTGGTGTTTGCACCCACACAATGTCACATAATATCCACACTACTGTATGATGGCCGTGGGATTCTACATGGGTAAACCCATCTAGGCTATGAGGCTACATGGGTAAAGCTCAGCTCTTCAGCCAGAACTTTGTGCTCTTACTGTCGACCCATATCGCTATCGTAACATATAGGAAGGGACAAGGAGCCCGACGTACAGAGCTGAGGTTGCGACCTGGATCGCACCTGAACAAGGTCTGAACTGGGTCTGAGCATGGCCTGACCCGGGTCCTCATAGGTAAGTGTGTGGTAAGTGTTTGGGCTCCTTGTGAGAACAAGTGCACATGTGATGAGGTAGTGGGGGACGGAATAGCACCTAAATCCATCTAAATCCAACTACAGCAACTAAACTCAAGGTCACACCCGCGAGTGAAACTCAACCCGCCCTCCCCCAGGCTCGGGCCTATCCCTGACCACAGAATGAAGAGTGAGCTGCTACTCTTCAACTATGGAGGATCTCTCTCTCTCTCTCTCTAGTGTACGTATTTCCAGCTGCTGTGGCTGGTTCCCTGCTGCGACCTGGGACAGTTGCTAGTTCTTTGCTCCGTTGGGCTGGGCGACCTGGGGTTTAGTGGCTGCGGGAGGTTCTGCGCCTGGCTTTTGGGCGGGGTGTGACCTGGGAATTCAATGCTGTCGTTCCTTTCCCTGTCCCTTTGTCCCGAGTGCAAACTAGGATTTAGTAGCGACAGCATCGTTGCAGGCAGGCCAGGCGCCCGCTCGAACTTCACAAAGCCATACAACGGCGTACAAAGGCGGATGCCTCGGTTGGTGGAGAAGCGCGGCGTGTTTCGCATATTTTGGAAGATCCAAGATCCAACTGTTATTTGGAAGAAACATATCTTTTGGAAGAAACATGAAGAACCCATATTTTGCGAAGTGGAAGTAACTATCTTTTGGAATCAATGTCTTTCGTTTGCTTACAGCAGCTGGTTTCTGCAGACGAAACATCGAACGCAGCGCCGTTAGCGTTTTCATCGAATCGATGGGCCTGTCGCTTTGGCGTGGGACGCCAGGTGTTTGACTGTACTTGTTTTGTTTCCGTTAGCGTTTTGAAGAGCCGTATGTTCTCAGGTTATAAGGTGGAAATAGATGAGAAAGCAGGTGTTTAAGGCTTACCCGGCTTACCCTGCAAAACTAGATGTGTTGGAATCATATAGGTTTATAATACCACGTTAATTCAATCAAACATTATATTTTTCAATCACCCCATATAACCAAATGATGTTGGCCTGCTTTGCTTTGGCATTTGCGTCGACAACATTTGAAAACTGTGATGATGAAAGCGAAGATGCTGATGGTGATGGTGCTGCTGCTGCTGCTGCTGCTGCGGCTGATGATGATGATTGTTTGTTTTGTTTTGTGTTTACTATTATTATCTTGATGATGATTATTATGCTGATAAAGATCATGTGGCGTTGATGACTGTGATGGTCCTGACGATAAGGATGATGATGATGATGATGATGATGATGGTGATGCTGCTGCTGCTGCTGATGATGATGATGATGATGATGATGATGATGATGATGGTGATTGGCCCTGGCGGCGAAGATGATTGTCCGAAGTGGAGGATGCCCTTGCGCGTGATGTAAGCTTCTCCCGAGCAGTCCAGTGGACAGCGCAAACCCAATACTGCAGGAACTGCGCGCGCCTGTTGCAGATATTCTGCTGGTGCTTGTGACTGCCGACACTTGTCCGAGAGTCCTTGCTGCCCTTCCTCCGCTGCTGCTATCCTTTGGTCGACAGAAACATATGCGGACTTCCGCTGGACTATATCCTACAGCAAGCGAACGCAGCTTTCCTGACTTCTCTGGCGAGGCGCTGCCTACCTGCTGCAGGGGGCACAGATGCATCTGCCTCACAGGGACACTGATCACTCACATCCTCGCCCCACGGCAGTGGAGCAGAAATAAACCATACACGATAGTAGTTATATAAAACTTAAAACACATTCGGGGAGCTAATACTGGTTTAATTAAGATGTTTTAAGACATGTAATAGGGATTTTAAACATGTAATAGGTATATAGTTTTTGTTTGATGTTCAACACAGATATTGGTAATCATGCGACGACACAGGGCTGTTTCAATCGATCGAACCACATATAATAGAAAAGTTATCCTCATGAACGTTTTTGTCCATGAATCCGCATACCAGGACCCTCTAAGGGGTGCCCAATGGAAGCCTATAGGTAGTGTGGGGTAGTCCATTGGACACCCCTTAGAGGGTCCTGGTAGAATAGTTTCTTTTTGCACCAGGCCCCGCAACACCCAGCACCAACAGCGCTTGTTCCTTCAAGCGTGTACCTGGCGGAGAGTCGTTCTGTCCGACTGACGCTGAACCCCTTGACACAGTGCTTGCGGCACTTTCCTTTTCGACTATCTCGTGCCACTCCATCAGTTGGAAGTGGCCGCTCATTTTTTTGTGGGGCTGCGCAACATGGTGCAGACACCTTTCAATTAGGAGGCATTTTCCGGACACCACCAGTTTATAGTTGAGAGCTGAATTGACATGCTACGTTCCATATATCAACGTGATCCTGGTTGACCGCTAAACATGAACAGAATAGACAACCTACCAGTGGACAGAAGTCGTTATACTGGCATATAAATATATATATATATGTATATTATATTATATATCCATAGAAATTAATAGACCTGCATTTGGTAATACCATCCGGAACATGTCAGGTGAGTTGGAGGTATGTCAAGGGACGCAGTATGACTACAGTCTGAATCCCTGCTCAGCCCCGCAGGGAGGCCGGCAGCAGTGTCCCTGGCCTTTGGCGGCCTCTTTTTTGCGAACATAGAGCACTCCGAACTGTTCGGCAGAGCGCAGAAATGGCCAAGAGCGGCGTTGCGGATGGATGCCAATGAAGACCCTCCAAGAAAAGGTTTTGGGAATCCAAGAAGGGACCAATGGATTTGGTCATTTTGTTTTTTTTGAATCCACTCCTTCATCCAGCCTGGCGATATCTGGCGATGTCCTGACCCCGAAAGAAGACTTTCCAAATCATCCCCAATATATATATATATATATAGATCAATATTATATGTATAGATAGAGGATTATAGATGTAAATTTGCCATACATGGATCATGGATGGTCTGGGAATGTGTTGGAGAACACTGGCAGCTTGCCCGCCCTCATCGACCAACACTGGCTTCAGCCATTGGGTTCCAGTGCGGACTGTCCCGCACATTGGCAGTTCTGTGTCGGCCGCACCGGCCGCACATGGGAGTGCTCTTCTCAGTGGCCGGAGGGGGGTCACCACACATACAGGAAGCGCGGAGCTGGGGGAAGCTCCACGAATTGACCCCGAAAGTGTTGATTGTTTTGTGTCATTGTTGCATTTTCTTCTTCAAATGATCTATGTTTCTCCAAAGTCGGCTTGTTGTGTTTCGTGGGAGCATTCTGTGACGGGAATGCATGATATAGTTGGTTAAGCCGATGTTCTTTGCTTTCACGAGGCAGTTCGCCTCATACAGTCATGTCAGACTTCCCACTCTTGGCATGCCTTTCACATGTATTCAAAGATGCTCCATTTGCGCGGAGAGACTGCTCCTTTTCAGAGGGTAGCAGCTTCTGGGTGTTTTCTTCAAGCCTTCAAGGCTGGTGGATGTTTGTACATGTAAGGCACTTTGGTGGAGGGGATGAAGGTTCCATTGCTCATGTTGCAGAGATTTGGTGGGAACGACATCAACTGTTGGTTCTCGAGTTGGTAAGAAATATCAGATATCAGATATCAGTATTTGATAGCATATTTGTTACCATATTGTTGTTCTTGTTCTTTTTTTTTCTGAAAGGTATTGAAGGGCAGTGGATAGTAATCGGGATTTATCACCCACACCAATGTGTGGCGCCGCGTGGCTGGCAATCCCCCGTAAAAGGTAGATGGCCACCAGACCGGCCCGTTCGTCTGCACTGGTCCGAAGACCAGCCGTTCCCGGTGGGTGACTGGAGGTTTTTTTTGCTGGCGACTTTTGCCAGGTGACTGGGTCATGTTGCGACTTTCAAGAAGAGCGAGATATTGTCCATAGACAACTGGTCAGCGAGAGTAAGCAGCTCGTGCCTTGGTTGCCCTATGTCGGGAGGCTAAGGCCTGAAACTGCCACAGGCTGTAGATTCTTTGGCAAATTGTTCATCGTTCGTTCTTTTTGGTGTTTGCTTCATATGCATTATTTTTTCGTTGGCTGATGATTTGATTGCGATGGGCACACTAGGAAAATGATGATAAAGAATGGTAATATTCACCTATGCAATATGAAACGTGTGTACAGTGCATCAGAGTATTTGGTTGTTAAATCTTTAGCAGCTTGTATATGCAATACACCGTTCTTTTCTTAACCTCACCTGCTTTCACGGGTCAAATGATTGGCTTTAGTCACTCGACAAGGTCGAGAAAGAGGCGAGATTCGGAAACCGAAACGGAACCGAAACGGAACCAGAGGCCCATGCGAACGCGTGGAACCACTGCATTCCTCCCTTCCAAAACAGGGCAAAAAAAGGGGAGGTCCAAACCCATGGCTGGTGCTGAGGACACTCATGGGAAAGTGCCTCGGCGTGAATGCCACGATTTAGCTTTAGCTTGGCGGAGAAAGTGCCTTGGGGGTGGGCCCTGTAGCAAAGTCCATGAGGACACCAGGTTGGTGCATGTCATTGGACCACTCACTGGAGCTCCTCAGTGTTCCCTTCTCGAATCCCAAACTGTAATGAGAGTTGACTCCTTACCATGTCGAACCTCACGGTGTTACAAAAGGACCGAACACCGACACCCAACCGAACACTGGTGGGAGGGATAGATCCTTTTGCTTCGGCCTATCAGACTGCTGAACAGTCGGCCTGGTGTGAAGAACGTGACCGGTCACCAGCGGGATGCGGGATGAAGCGAAGGCGGCCAGATCCACCAGTGCCGATCCACCAGTGCCGTTTCGGCACCACCAACTGTTTTGGACGCGCAGTTGGCGTAGATCAGCAGCTGGGGGTGGTTTCTGGGGCCATGTTGAAACATGTTAAGACTGCTGGGGTCATAACATGTTCGGAACATTGCAAAGTTCTGGCTGCTGGCTTTGCTACTAGTGTTCAAGTCTGGGCGAAAGCACAACCCTAGTCAGCGAAGTGGATCAAAAGCACCTGGGAAGACTCTGAACTCCACCTAGCACGAGTCCACTCAAATCACCATCTGAAAGCTTTCGTCAGAGTGTTTTTGGGGAGTACATTATGGGATGTGTTTTGTCCTAAGTTTGTCATGGGCTGCTATGGATCCATAGGACCATAGGAGTTCCCTCCAATGTGAACACATCAGAGCGCTCAGGTGGAATTATTTGAGACCTCAGAGCGCTCGGTCATGCTGCCAGAGGAAGAGAGGAGATGGATGGCGGGTGCCGTTCGACTGCCAACCTTTGACTATTTAGACTTTCTGTGCATCTTCAGCTGACCCCGAAAGCCTACCCCGAAGTAAGATTCAGATAGACAGTCATGTTCCGTGTGGAACATTGACCCTCAGGCACTATGGGAAGACTATCATCTTCCTCTATAGATCAGGTCATGATGTGAAGCGGAGCTGTATCAGGGGATGGTCCCTCTGAAAGACCATCGACGTTGAACCCAGGGTCCTGATCAGTTGGGGGGGAGAGGCCTGGTGATGGAACCTGTGCCAAACTGAGTCTGCCGTGTTCGTTTCGTAACTCCGCTAACTCCAGTTTAAAGGTTTGCCAATTGGGGTGGATAGGGAGCAGTTCCTTGATTTATGTGGGTGCACTGACAAGTTTTGACTCTACCACTTGATAAAGGAGATGTTTTTTTGGACCCGTTGAGGTCAAGTTGAGGTGGTTGACTGGGGGTCAATAGGGCAATCCTATGGCCCATTCGTGTTTGGGAAGGCTACCACCCAACAGATCGCCTTAGCCAGGACAACCGGCGCCTCAGAGGCGCCGCTCGTCTTCCAGGCGGGGTGACGTTGCCGAGACGTCGGGGGGTCCGAAGAGGTGTCCAGACCGTCCATGTAGCAAGGCCAAATCAAAAAGCTCCTGGCATTACTACTAGGAAAGTGTAGCTTCTTGTTTCAATCCACCTCTTGGGGTCCTTTCAGCTTTGTTGCCAGTAGCTTCTTGTTACGTTCGTAGCGATGGCCTCCAACCTATTTGCAATGGTCTCCACCTAATAGCAACCTTGCTGCTAGTAGACCCCCAAATTGATAGAGAAAGTGATTAGATTAGATCCCCACTTGAAATGTCTTGGACACCATACCACTATCTATTTGGGGATCACTATATGGATCTATAATATGGGATATGTGCCGATCGGGGTGTTTGACCTGGGGTCAATTGGTGGGCATATCTTCCAGTTGTATGGATGTTTGTTTGGAGGAACTTTTTGTGGCCCAGAAGCGCCCGCGCGTTCTATTGGGGCGCGCGAGGGCGTGAACAGTAGACCGTTCTTCTAGGAGGGGGTCAGTCGCTTCAGTCGCTTCAGTGTCACGATGTGGGATCCCCCGGCACGCGTGACTTTTGGGCGACTTTTGTAACCCTGGCCCCTTCCTTTCATTCTTTCATATGAATTGATTCTTTCATTCTTCCTTTCATTCTTTAATTATTTTATAACCCTGGCCCTTGATTTGCCTTTGAGGCCACCAAGCTGACAACTCATAGGGGGACGACGAGACATCTCTGCGCCCGGCGAGAGACATCTGGGTCGCACACACGCGACTCCTGAAGTGCCATGAAGCAGAAGCAAAAAAACAGACATGTCATGACGCACGACTGGAAGTCCAAGACTCTGCTTGAACCATGGTCTTTAGGTAACCCCAAAAGGAAGATCCTTTACTTCATGTGGTGCAAATGTTAGCAATGATAGTCTATGGACTTCTCGGGATTAGTTGTTATATGCATAGACGAATTGCTAGCTGCTAGACGAAGCAAGGCCACAACGGCGTATGAGAGCAATTTCTGAGATGCTGATGCCACATGGCCATAGAAACGGCCACACGGTACGGCCACTGAAGGTTCTTTTGTTTGTGATGTTGAATGCAGATTCGCCGCAAGCGGCCGTTCCGCTTGGAATGTCACCCCGGGCTTTTCCGCTGAAAGCACCCAGACCGCCAGGGGTGGCAAGCGGGGGCGCGGAACACCTTGGACTCCCACCTGCGTGATTTACCGGAACACATGTCCGTCCGGAACCCCCAGACTCAGACCGCCGAACCCGGCGGAGCCCGCGCGAACGGAGGGGCTCAACCGTCGACTCGGAGGGGGGACGAAGGAGATCCGGAGCAAGATGAGCATGGGCTTCTTCCCACACCAACCGTTCGCTTCGTTTCGGTCAACAGTTTTGGGTTTGGGTCCAGCGAGCTGAGTAGACCAAATTCGGAAGAACTGGAGACTTGAAGGCTGGCATGCCAGCTGTGCATTGCCTCGGCTGCTTGTTTATGCCATGCAGGTCAGGTAGGTCAGGTCTGTGATGTCAACATGAAGGCCAGGGAGAGGTCCATCGAAGCTGATCCTTTCCAAAGAAACTCGAGCAGATCCAGCTGATCCAGCTGATCCACCTGTTATCAATCCAGCTGATCCACCTTTTCAGGTTGGTTATATAATTACACAATAACGGGTCTCCCCAATAGATGGTTTCAACATGCTAGTTACTTTGTTTGGGTATAGATACTGCATACGTCCCATGACCAGGTCCCAGTGGATGATGAATGATGACGATTAGGTTGCCGGCCGTTCTTAACCATAATAGTGATAAGCCTTCAGTGGCTGTTACTGATAAATGGGACATACCCTAGGTCCTGGAGCAAGGACGCTAGTAGGTGGAGGCCATCGCAAGTAGGTTGGAGGCCATCGCTACTAGTAACAATAAGGCTTTCTAGTATGTTTTTGAAGCTTTCTAGTAACTAGAAGCTACCAGGTGGAGGCCATCGTTACTAGTAACAATAAGGCTTTCTAGTAAATATGTCTTTGAAGCTACCTTGGTCTACCGAACCTTTCATCACTTCATGTCTCCCAGGCGGTGGGCCAGTCGCGTGGCACTGGTGGCACCGGCAGTGATGTGCTGCAGCGAAACCGGCTGAGCACTGTGAGGCGCTCTGGGTCCCACGTCTTTTTCCGGTCGACGTGTTTCGCAAGCGAAGCGAAGCAAGGCTGGCGGTCCGGCTGTGTATATCGCGTTCTTCATGAAATTTGGAGAAGCAAACACAGCTGGGGAGACCGCCATGGTTTTGTTTTGGAGACCGCCATGATGCCTGCGGAAGAATCCGGGCGTGCGGCGCACCCGGTGGACGCCGGGGTCGAGTCGAGGGCTGCAGGTCGAATCGTGCAGGTTTCGACCGGGTCTGGGGTCAAATGGCGCCATGCACTGCGCCATGCACTGGAATGGAGAAGTGGACAAGCATTTTGCTTGACTGCCCTTGGATTTTGGTGTGTTGTTTCACGGCTGTCATCAAGGCACCCAGGACTGTGGGGCAAGACACCCAGGACTTCCACAGCTTGCCGCACGACTGTGGGGTAGTGACATGCGTCGATGGAGTCTAGCTTGCCCCGACCTGAAAACCACTGGGTTGTTACATGAAAAATGATGAACCAGGGGTTACAAAGGGGAGGTGTTTTGTCCCTAAGTGAGCGGATAATGCTTCCAAGTTCGGCACCCCGTCTTGTGACTGCTGGAACATCGTCTTCCTTGGGGCCTCTATTGTCAGGTTCCATGTGGGTTTCTGAACTATCGAAGCACCCCCCAGTCGTGAAGATGCCAGAGTCCCATGGAGTCATGTCTACACCAGGCACTCGATCGCGGTGATGTCCGTGAACACGCAGGGCTTGCGGCTCTCCGTGCCGACCTCGGGTGTCGACAGATCCACCGAGACGCGGACGCGTCGGTCGTTTGGGTTTGGGGCAGGACCCTGATTCGAAACATCCCCCGTGCTTGGTCCTCGAATAAAATGCTGATCATTTGACTCTATTTTCCATGGTCGGCAAAGGATCCCAGTGGCAAAGCACGGAGGATATTCGGGATGGGTTTTGGGGTGGAAGTGTCTTTTTTCAGAACCCACGTTCGGGTGAATTTGGAGGCACGCGTATTAAGCACTAAGCATATCTAAGCATGTACCGCCTGGAGCTTAAATACAGGATGTGTTCTGAACCTGGAGAATCCACATATTCCAGGCGTTCCAGGCACAAAAACCGCACCGAACCGTTCAGGGTGTTGGTTTGGCCGATGAGGTCTTGCCATGTTCACATCAAGACTTCAAGGTGTTTAAGCAAAAACCTTCGTTTGGTCAAGGTCCGTGATTCTCCGTTTCGGTCCGTTGCCAGACCTTCAGCGAAAAAACGCGGCCGCCATGGTAATGTTACAAGCCATGGCTGGAGTCCAGAAACTTTCGTGGCTCAAGGTCCCAAAGGCATCTTAAATGCACAAAATATGTGCAAAAGGCCCTTAGCTTCGAACTTCGTTTCGGTCCGTGGATTCTCGGTCCGCTCCAGGGCAAGAGGGAAAGCGCCACGGTTCTCGAAGCAGAGGGATTGGATCTCAGGCGGCCAGAGCGTTTTGTGACAGACAAGCAAGTTTTGTGGAAAAAGCACTGAGAGTGGAGCAAAAAGCACTGAAGAACGCCAGAACGCTGAGAGTGGAATCATGATGCATCATATTCTTCAAAAGCTGGAACACACCATATTCTCCTGGGTCCTGTGGTTCAACACATCTGAACAACGTCTTGTTTGCTGTTGATGTGGCTTCCTTGCCTGTTGAGTTAGATGTTTTCTTGAACCTTTTTCTGCCTTGATGTGGTTTGTACTCGTAATTATTCCAGGAAAGGTGTATAATATATGTGTGTGTGTGTGTGTGTGTGTGCGGCTTTAACATCTTTTGCATGTTTATGGTTGTTGTGGTGGTGGTGCTTGTTGCTATCGTCGGGTCGTGGCGGTACTGGTGCTTGTTGTGTGTGGACATGGACGTCGTGTTGTCGCGATTCCGTGAGGTGGACGGCTTCCCGGGCCTAAAGGAAGGCTCAACACTATTTAGCAAAACATCATACCTTGGGAGTCGGTCAGACTATCAAAAAGAATGGGCTGACGAACGGGGACCTGATTTCGGGAACTTCCGGAAAACTTCAGCCAGTCAAAATATAGTCGAACTGGACTTATAGGGTATATATAGATGCATGCGCCTTAATGCCATTAGATTCTATAGATGTTCACAGAGTTGGAGTGGACTTGTCCTACGAAGAGTAACTAGTAAGCGGATGTAAACGGTGTCTTGTTGGGGCAGCGCAGGCAACTCATGGTGAGGTCGGTTTGCTCAGATGTTTTCTCAGCTTAACATACGGACGTCCCCGCACACAACTGTGGGTGGGATACTGCGGAAGTTACTGTCAACGCGTGACCTGGGTGCAAAAACCTTTGACCCAAATTGGTGGTTCTACTCTTTTCGACCAGCTAATTTACTGATTGGGAAACACCATGTATTTCTCCGGCACAAAAAAGGATCACAGGGTGCTTTATTTTGGCGAAGCCTTTTCGTCATCAATGGAACTCATGGCTTAGAAGAAAGACCTTTTTCGCCGTCGATTTCTTGTCTCCCTGGTGAGGCAGCGAAATCGTAGCTCGGTCTTCTCCTTCGCGGGCAGAGACATTTATGCTGCTCGGGTGCCAGTAGCAGCGACCGGTCAGCGGTGGGATGGCATTTCGCTGCAAAAACAAATGAAACAAACGGCAACTGGGTAATGGAGAGATGTTTTATGTGTGAGATCCATGTAAATATGTGTTGCATATTTAAAGATGCAACACATTAAACAACACAGTTTGTTCATGTTTGTTCACTATTCCTATCATACGCATTATTATGTATACGACGTATATATAATATTAAATATATCATATTCTAACACTTTTTGGTTGTGATTGCTCGACCACCTCTCCTTTCGTCACCTCTCGAGCGGTCACGACCGGCTTCTCCAAAAAGGCCGGGTCGTTCGCCCAACGGTCGCTGCGAATGCGCCTAGCGGCGCCCAGTTGGACTTCACCATCGAAGAGGAATTGGGCAAAGGCGGCTTTGGCACCGTCTATGGCGGACGACGAAGAAAGGACGGAATGCTGAGCTCTAGGGGTTGGGTGGAAGGACGGGGGATGTGGAATGCAGTTGGATTAGGGGCCAACATGAAATGAATGCCATCGTGTGTGGAGGTCTTGCAGGTTTGGGTCAAAGTATGTCAGAATGGATAGTCGCACTGATGGCATTCATGCGTAATCTATGGACGAATCTCACAGATTGACGTTCTTTTTCGGGTTGTGTTCCGGATCCAACCACTGATTTGAGCTATCCAGAACAGAACATGTCCGATTGTTCTGGGAGACGCTTCGGATATGCAGATCCATGCCTCACAAGATATAGGAAAACAAATGAACATCGGACCGTCCTCTGCGACGGTCCTATGGCGTTTCCCTCCTGTTCCATCGGATTGGGATTTTGGGGGGGTGCCCAACCTCCAACGACTACGGTCCAAAGGTTTAACGCTTCGGCCGTCGTGACAAACCGTCCGTCCGATGTGTCGATCGGATTCGTGCTTCGGCCGCGAGTTGTCGCTACGGGGTAAGACCGGTCACGCAGCACGACCCGAAGAGTCAAGGATGTCAGAGGGTTGTACGGTTCAATGGGTTTGTTTGTGCAGGTGGCAGTGTTTGTTTCTTACCAATTAGGTGTGTCATGTTCCATATTTGCTTAATCATTTGTTTAAAGCGACCTGTTTCTTTTGCTGTGCTCCTGTCATCGCCTGTCCTACTTGCTCTTGTGAAGTCAATCAATACTGTAATAGACATATTTGACATAGTACATATACAGTATAGTTGTGATGAGTATATAGTAATTTAGTTCCGTATGTAGAACCTGCTAAATGAAAGAGTTTGAACTCAAACAATCCAGACATGATGTAGTGCAAGAACTCCAATGAATGCGGTTGTGTTTCATTCATCTGGCTCTGGTAAAGCTATATTGCGGAAACTCAATGTTTTGTGCAAGTATTGAAGCGCTTCAAAAAAACCCTTGAGCTTTAAACTACTTTACTTCGAGTGATCCCCACCATGACATTCCAATCATTTGTTTTCAGACCATGGCGAGGAGCATGTTGCCAGGTCGTGAGTCTTCTGGTTTTCGATTTTGCTTGTGGGTTCTCGGGTTTGGGATTGTTACTTTGTGTTAGGGAGTTCGCGTCCGGGTGTCGCCGGGAGAACCCAGTTGGCATACAAAAGTGCTACCCTGTGACCACCTGCCACGCAAACGCCACACACACATGTAATTATATTGTTGTGTGCTTGTGGTTGTGTCTTCGTGGTTGTGTACTGTGGTTGTTTGTTGTGGTTGTGTGTTGTGGTTGTGTGCGCTGTGGTTGTGTGTTTGTGATTGTGGTTGTGGTTGTGTGTGTGTTGTATGTTTGTGGCTGCGCTTGTGTTTGTGAGTTTGTGTTTGTGCTTGTGGCTTGTTTGTTTGTGGGTGTGTTTGTGTGTTTGTGATTGTGTGTTTGTGGTTGTGTGTTTGTGGTTGCATGTTTGTGTTTGTGATTGTGGTTAGTTTGTGGGTTGTGTGTTTTGTGTGTTTTGTAGCAAATGAGACACGCTCTCAAATCAAACGTAGGCGTTCTCGGCCACCCCTTTTTGCATTTAGAGTAGACATTGTACATGTTTTGATATTGCCTGAGGCATCCCGTGGCAGACTGATCATGCACTCATTCAAGTGTTGGTGGAACAGGGGTAGAAGTGCTGGAAAAGAAACAGAATTGCCTCACATGTTCTATGTTTGCACTGTTCATCGGTAGCTATGGATGACTGATGATGGTTGTGTCCCTACATTAGGTTTTGGACTCCCATACGAGGATCTGGCAGGATTAATAGGGTCATGAGGGCCTGCACCTGTCAAACCAAAGGGGTGTGGTCTGTTCCTCCTGCCTTGGATTTGCACTTCCGAAAACGATCCTAGTGTATCATATAATATATTATATATATAACATATAATATATATATTGGGCCTTTTTTCAAGGGTGTCCTGGCTGGAGATCCACATACGTAGCGCAGGGTATTCCAGCCAGGAGACCCCTTCCGTTCAGGTGCTGGTATATACCAAAGTACCCTCCAAAGTACCCTCACGTGCTGGGACATGACCTGAACAACATCAGCTACAATTACCTGCACGTTCCCAGGTGCGAACAGGTGGTCTCCCGGTCTGCACCGCCTGCATTTGCCCGGCAGGACGGGCTGTCTGTGGCCATCAAAGCCATCGGTGTGGCGAGCACCAACCCAGCAGTGCCTCGGGTGATGTTGAGTACCGAGGTCTTGAAAAGCACCACTTGGAGATGTTTGGAACATTTTGGAACGTCATATGACGGTCACCACTGGAAATTCTTGGAAAGTGCTGCAATAAAGTATCATGGAGCTGTTTTTTGGGGTAAACTTGGGGGTGCCAGAGTTGAGTTTCATCATGAGCACTACAGGTAGGACCCAGGAAGGAAACACACATTGTGTGTGTGAATCCCAAATCTTCAGGCCATTCCATCAAAGACGTTTGACCCCCCTACAACCCTCTATAGCTCGGCTCGGGATGCCTATGGAGACCTCTCTGGGAATGCTTGTTTTGCTTCAACGAATGCTGCCTCCACATCTCCCCGACCCCGACCGGGTTCGGTGCGGAACATAGAGAAAACCACCCATTGATGGGGGTTTCCCTATATGTTTCCCTATAGAGCTCCGATCGTCCTATCTCCTCCGACCTTCGGTGCTATTCGTCCAGCGCTGGCCCATCGAACTGAAACGGAGGGGGTGGCCGTATGGGAATCAACCCATCCGACCACAGTGACCGGGTTCCGGGCCGAACAGCTTGTCCAAGGCCTTCCGGAAAGAGCTGGATCAGGCGGCGGCGTGGGGCGTCGTGGGGCGTCGCCGAGAGGTGCGCAAACATCGAGGTAGCAGGCAGCCCAGGGTTCTTTGGAGGTTGCAGGAATTGTTAATTTACACCTTGTTTGAGTTGCCTTTTTTGCTTCTTAAGACAAAGATTTTAGAAGGAATCCCCACTAATTATTGTCTATATTGGATGGTGTATGCATGTGTATGCTGGTCTTCATGGAAAAATCATGAAGTCATGCCCGACGTCCCAATCCGAGTGTGCGACTGTTGAACCCCACCGTCAACCCGACTTGGCTCGATGCGAAACCCAGTTTCGACCCCCCCCCCAAGACACCGCAAAAGAACATCGTATACACAGCCCCTAGGCATTTTAGAAGAAGGGGCCACCAATACAGACTCAGACACTTAGGGAGGCTGAGTCTAGTTATTGAAACCCATACTCATACCGTACCCCTTTAACCCCATACCCATACCGTGTTTTCTTTGATTCAGGATGAATGGGGCACACCAGACCACCCCATGAGATTCTTGGGGTCCGTGCCTCTCCAAACCGTACCCTCTGTCTTCACGTCCGCGAGTTACGCCTCGTCTCCCAGGCGCGGAAGCTCAAACATCCCAACATTGTGCGATTGTTGGCCTCCTACGCGGACGAAGCTTGGGCCGAGGTGTTCTTTTTTCCCTATGGGATCGGCCAAGGGAAGGGCTGCCGGTGGCAACCTGAAGACGGTTGCGCTGGCGCTGTTCCACCAGGAAAGCCATTTCCCTGAAACCGAACGGTGTAAGCCTATGTCTTGTTCAGACGCGAAAGGTCCTTCTGTTCGGTCACCGGAGAGTTCTTGAACTTGCAGGGCTGGAGGTTGGCCAGGGGTGGAAGGCAATCCATCGATGATTTGGAAGGCAAAGAGTTTCACCATGTTTCACCATTGATCATGTTGTGAAATTGCTAGAAAAGACATGAAAAGACTATATTAAGATATCGAGACCAACCAAGAGTCATGTTCCCAAACACTCCATGTACTTAGGCGTTGTTATGGTAGTAAAATAGTTGATGGAGAAAAAATACTGAGGAAAACCCCACCCCAGCCACCACCACCACGACGACAGCCGCGGCAGCAGCAGCCACAGCAAGAGCCACTGCGGCGCTGCTGGCGGCACCGCCTGGCAGCCAAGATTCAAGAGAGATGGGACTTGGTTTCACAGGGTCTGTGGGAAGGGTGGATGTTGGAGCAGGTGCCCTTTCAAATCTCAGCACACCCATTTTCCATCATACTTCCATCAAATCATCACTGGCCCTTTGGCCACCCCATCGCATCCTGGATCCCCTCAACGATCTTGCTTACCAATGCCACCGGCCACGCGTTGCCACAAGCACCCATCAGCTTCCTCAACTGACATTCAATCAGTGGCCAATATTGGCAAATTGAACGTGACAAGCAACTTGAACTCAAAGCCAACCAAGTTTCGCAGAAGAGATGTCCATCTCTTTGGCGCACGCCGCCAAATCATCCGGCAGACCCATGAGCCGAAGGCACTCCTTAAGTTTTCAACATGCAAAATGAAAGACATCCAATAAATCACCTGTGGATGAACAAGAGGTGCGTTGGGCTTAAGCAAAATGACAAAATGAAGTGGCAGGCCAGGGAGCTACAGCATTCAAGGGACGCTCCAAACGGGTGAGCCAGAATCCACCTGAACTCGCCCTCGTCCTCGTGAGACATGGAGCAATGTCCCTTTTGGGCTTGCACTGGAACTTCACCGATGCACCAATGTCCACCAGCCTCAAGTAAGACACAATAGGAGATTGAAAGACAGTTGGTAGTCCCAAACAATTATTGTTCACAAGGTGGACTTCTTGTCATTGGTTGACCAACTAAGTTAAAGACCACACTTGCTTCTTAGGATCACCGCCGAGCTTGGCAATCCTCCGCTCACCAATCTTGAGCATTTTGGATGCATGCTTTGAAAGGACACCTGAATCAAGCTAGGCACCTAAATTAAACTTGGGGCAAAGAATTCACAACAAGCCTGGATTTGCAATAAGAGTTTAGCCTGGAGACTGCGGGCATTCTTCTTTCCAAAGGTTCGACATAAGAGCGATCGAAATGAAGTTCGGTTGGATGAAAACTTTGGCCACTTGAATGACTTCCTTGATTCAACAGTTTTCAAAAAAGATCTGTTGATCTGTTTGTTGACACCAAGTTTCTTCTTGTTCTTCTTCCTGAGCGCCACCAGAAACAATCGTCGGCGTGATTGGGCCATTCCAAAGTCCTGGGTTGAAAGTTGAACACAACAAGCAACTAATTAGTTCATGGTTTCACACCACAACCAAGAAACCCTTCTTAAAAGACCAGACTCAGCCGCATTGAGAATTGCAGGATGGATGTCATAGTATGGTGTACCATCAGCTTCTTTGATCCCCTTGAGCCTCAGACTAATAAAATGGTTCCTGAGGGGTTAGATACTTACCCATGCCAATGTTTAAAATTTAAGTCCAGGGACGTTGTGATCCACTTGTCATAGATGGACCTTTTCAGCTTCTTGTTGCGAACCACATGTGGGACCTGCTCCACCAATGCTGCTTCTGGCCGCTTGGCCTTGATATAATCAATGCATGCCACCATGCATCCTGTACGTGGGTCTTCCTTAGATGCTTAATTGGCATAATGGCACCAATCCCTGAACAACTTGTGAACACATCGTGCAAGGGTTCAAGCAAGATTCCAGACCTCGTTTTTTGCCAGCCACAGACACACCTTGACATGGCGGCCCTGCTCCATAGAGATGCACCCTGGGCATTTTGTTGACATTCCTTTTTGTAGCATCCTTGGTCAGTTAAAGCTCAGAACCAAAGTAAAGTGTTGAGGTGTCCCTGAAAAATACATGTTCCAAAGTTAAAATGTTGAACATCCCTGAATCCAAGAGTCACTGAACACAACCTTGGGGGAATGGACCCGTCCAGCCATCAGCCTCAAGGCATTGTCCTTCTCGCTCAAGAACTCCAAGCTGTACGGGATCTTAGATTTCCTCAGATGATGGGCAGTTGGTTGGGGTGTCATTTGAAACACTTCCATGATCATTATAGTTCAAGTTGAATGGCACCACCAAGCATCGTGAGAGCCCAGCTCAAACATTCTAATCCAGAAAAGTCTGATCCGATCTTGATTTTCATTGGCATGGCCGTGACACCAGCGCGGACTTGGTTGTTTCGTTTTCTTCATACACATCCGTGGTACTGCCTGGTGACATGTTGCCATATGTTTATTGATTGTCCTTGCAAAAAGCTTCACACAAAGCAGTGGCCCATGAAGCCCATGAGGTCTTCACGACCTCCAGAGCCCCCACGCTGATTTGAACATAGACGGTGTCATCAATCCATAGTGCTGCTCAACCAGCATGGTACCACAAGTTCAAGTCAGTACGGCGAGTGAGACGATTGAGATTTTTCTGGGAACCTTCGATGATGATCATCAATCGGTGCTCTCACCGACGAGTGGCTTCTAAGACTAAGATTGTGAGAGGCCAGCCAGGAATCTGACTCAAATGGACTCTTGCACAGTGTCTTTTCATGGTTTGTTGCTTTGAAGGTCAGACTCCCTCCTGAGAGCTCCCATTCAACTGCACCCAACGTCACAGACATGTCATGGTGCAAGCAAAAACCGACTGGCCACCAGTGACCCCTTGAGTGAATCGGACATATCTATAGTTTTATTTTCAACATTGAGTAATGAACCAGATAGTCTTTCACATGTCAAAATTGTTGAATTGGTTGAGTTGAACTTTGAATCCAACAATGGAAACATTCTTTAAAAGGAGCTCACTCAACCCACCACCACTGGTTGGCC